TGATCTCATAAAAAATAATTCTATGAGAACACATACGTATCACAGTGAAGTGGACTTTGTCATTTATTATATGCGAGCCATTAATTAGTTTTAACTATCATATTACAGAACCCTCTGAATCGGTCGAGTTTATAATAGTTGATTGACGAGTAAAATTTTTATCTTAAAATATAAAAGTTTCCTTAAGTTTAACAACTTGACAGTTTTAGACAGTTTGCTTGATAACTTTAAATATCTCCCCCCCCCCTTTTTTTCCCCAGAATTGTGTACGTCTTCTGTACTTGGCCAATTTTTAACACTAGGTTGCTTTAACTTTTAAAAGTGATGAAGTTGCCACACGTGCTCACACGCAAAAAATCAGCTTGATAAGAATAAACAAGTACAAGTTAAAAGAGAAAAAACAAAATAACATGAAAATAATGAATTAATAAAAAGAATAATTTGAAAAATTTATAAATGTGCACCTTTTAAATGTCTGAAAATTCTAGCTTTGAACTTTGACGTGTGTATCTTTCGCGATTGTGACAACAGGCATGCATTAAATGTAGATGACTATTTTTATTGAATGATGATTGTGAAACGTGTGCAAATAAAACGTTCATGTTTATTCTTATTATTATAAACAGTAATATCAAATTTTTATACGCGATACATTTATTTAAAATTTGCCTGCGTAATTTAGAAATGACGATTTTTCTTCTGTCTAACAAAGATTTTCGAAATTTCCTATTTCGGGCGGGTATGTTATTTTGATATTATTTCCTTACGTAAGAACTGCATGACGCAGGTCATTGCTTGCGTTTACTCTGTGTGTCACCACCGTATGGCGCGCGCGCGAGCGCGAGCGCGAGCGCGTATATACACCAGTCTGGCGGCATTCCACCACACCATCGTGATTGCAAAGGTTTGGTAAAGCGTATGGCGCGCAGTTTGTAGTCCGCGGTGTTTATGTCTGAACGTCGCGAGATCCTCAGCTGGCATTTTCACACAGTGTGAAATGGCCCAATCTGATTAATCTTGATAAAAATGTGTAATCTTAATATCTGTACAGATATATATATATATATATATATATATATATATATATATATATATAT